CTGGGAATACAGGTGTGTGCCACCACACCCCGCTTGTTTGTTGTTTCTGAATCAGCAACATTTTAGGTCACTTGTGAATGTCAGGTCCCCAAGGATGGAGGAAGGTCTTACTTAGTGGATGATAAAAGCCCAAGCCTGATAGAAATGTGGCCACTGGAGGTGCAGTGAGCAGCACCCACCCAACTGGGTTTGTGTAGGTTGTGTATGAGCAGAGGAAGGGGAGGAGAAAAAAAATAAGGTGAGTTATCTGCTGTACAAACTCCCCACAATGAATGTAGTAGTATGTTTTACAGATATACGCTAATAAAAATAAATTTTCTTTTAAAATTGTCTTTAAAAACATGTCATACAAGCCTGGCATAGTAGTGCATGCCTGCAACCCCAGCACACCAGCACTCATAGGCTGAGGCAGGAGGATTTCTGCAAGTTTGAGGCCAGCCTGGGGTACATGGCAAGACCCTGGTTGAAAAAACAAAGCAAACCATAAAAAGCTGTGTGCTGAGCAGAAAGCCTGCAGAGGAGGCTCCTGACTCCTACCTTTTTGGTGCAGCTGAAAGAGCCAGGCTCCAGAGTGGGAACACCCCTAGTGTCTGTCTGTGCCTCTGACCTCTCCCCTGCTGAAGCCTGCAAGCTGGCCTACCCACAAGGCTTCACCCAGTCCTGTACTCCAGTGACCACACCCAGCAATTTAGACTTCTGTCCCTGGAGCTAATCAAAAGACTAGGAGATAAAAGGTAAGAGATTGAAGTACACCAGCCTGTAGTCAAATGTGTGGCAGGGCCTGGAGTCCCTTGCTAAATCTCCTAGTATTACCACTGGAAATGAACTGCAAATGAGGCTTAATATCAGTTATGTAGCATTTGCTAATTTTTCTCCAACTGTTAAATGACTTCTGTGTACGATATTGCTTCATTCAGGGCAACTTATCTTTTTACCTGGAAGGAACTTATTTCCATTAGAATTGGAACACTAGCTACATATTTTGCATTTAAAATGTTTCATGTGATTAAATGCTGAAAGAAACATTATTACTTCTGTTTCTTAGGAATGTGCTCTTTCAACTGATTCTTCTTTTGTGCCTGGAACAATGCCTTTAATTTGGAAACAAGTAAGAGAGCTCTGATTACCAAGCAAGGTTAGCCTACACTGGCAGCCAGGTCCTGGAAACAGGGCTCAGGTGAAGCACAGCCCTGCTGTTCGCCCCTCCACAAAAGGCTGCCGCGCAGACTGACTGCTCAGCAGTGTACACTGGTGTGTGGAGGGACACATTCCCTTTTAATAACCCTTGTGTCTCCCTTTTCCCTATCCTCCTACTTCTTCCCCTCTTGGTTTTGAATCTTAGTAGTTTTTCTCTTTACCTTTACAGAGCTATAAAGAATGGCAAAGGATTGCACAGCAAGAAGGAAGTGCCTATCCACCGTGTCGCAGACATCTCTGGGGTGAGTGGGCTTCTCGAGTGTGCCCGTTCAGGGATGGGTTTCAGCATGTTTTCTAAAGCTTGCTCCTTTTCAGGCCCTGAGTTTGAAATCTTTCCAAAGTGTCTAGTTAGACATCTTTATGTATTTCTGTTTTCTATTCTGGAAAATTGAAAGTAAAAACTGCCTTATATTTCTTTATTTGAGCCACCTTTAGGTTGCTTTTCTACTTTTAACTATTATGAGTTCAGAAAACACTTCTCAGTTGTAGTAAAATAAAATTAACTTTAAAAAAATCTGTTTCTCACTGTGAACAGAAGTCACTGTAAAAGGTTATGAATTATTTTTCCTTGTTTGCCTATAAGTAGGAGAGAATGGACAAATACGTGAACATCCTTAAGGATGATAGAAGTGTGGGTATATAGATGTACCTCATAATGTGTATAGAAGAATCAGTGATGCTGATACTTCTGAGCTCCCAAAGGCCACGGCCTAACTTTATCCTTGCACATTTAGCATCTCTTTTGACTGAACAGGTCCTTCTTTTAGTAAAAAGGATTTTTTTTCACAAGTATTTATTGAGTGCACACCGTGTGCTAGGAACTGAAAGTCTTACATTGTCCAGAAATGATAATGTCTCAACTCTCAAATGGGGCAGAGTAACATTTTCAATGTCAGGTAGTAAGAGCTTCTTGGGAGAAGATAGTACCTGCTGCGGGCAGATAGTGCATGGCCCCATTACTGATTTCTGTTCAGGAGCCAGAGAAAGCACAGGAGACTGAAGGACCACGACACTGGAGGATTTGAAGGAAGGAAGGAAATCTTAGCTTGGTCTCAGGGAATAAATATGCCTGGGCCACCAAGAGGGAAATACTACAATAAGCAGATGCTCCTATGCCTCAGCCTGGTCCAGGACAGTGATGAATTAGAGTGTATTATCTTTCCGTTATGTCATGTTCCCAGCCTGGCCGAATCTTTTTCTCTTGCTCCTGCTGATTGCTTATTACAAATGTGTCTGGCCAGCTCCTCTTGTCTGGGTGTAGTGGTTCCCTGATCATTTTAAGCAATGGGACTCTGGTGAGCTTTTCTTTGTCTCCAGCCAGTCACCACAGATTTCAGACTGTACAGTGCCACCAGCATCATGAATTGAGCTTCAGTCAAGGACATGGGGTGGCTGCAAAAGGAGTGAATCCTGTGATTTGCAGTCTTTGTGGCTAGAAGCCCACTGCGAAAAGCCTATGAGCTGCACCTGACGGTGGCTCCTGGGGACAGCTTGCCTGGAACAGGTGTGGCTGTGCCCTGCACAGCACCGCTCAGCCAGTTTTTCCTATGGCTTCCCCTGCTGGACTATTATTGTATATGTATTATTGAATACTATAGGTCTGTGTTGTGGCATTCATTTCCTTAGTATTCTTTTGCTGAAGATATTGGCGTAATCAAAGGGCAATTCGGGGACTGTTAAGCTGCAGGGAAAAGTATTATAAATATTTGTTTGCAAAGAGACAGTAAAGACTCTTCTACATTAGCCCTTCTGCCTATTGAAAAACCAATATAAACCAAATTCTTAGACCTTTTCAGATGCCAAATTAAATCTTGAGGTGCTGTATATCAATTAAAAACAAAAATACATTAAAGTGGATCAGCATGAGCCAGAAAAACAACCTTGGGGATAAGTGCTTTCTTTTGTTCCATCCAGTTCATATTTTTGCTCCACTTTCTCTGGCAGTGAGGTAAAGTCTGAAGGAGGTTTGTGAGGTGAAGGCATGCCTGCTTCAAGCTGTTCTCTTAGGGTCTCCCAGTACGGAGTTGAAAGGGGTTTTTGTTATTATTATTGTTTTGCTGTGTTGCCAGTATTGCACGTTTGTCTTACTTTCTCATTGTTGAGGGAAAATACTCAGCACCCAAAATTAAAGGAGGAAAGGTTTATTTAGCTCACAGCTTATGGAGGTTTCAGGCCATAACCGACTGGCCCCAAGGCAGGGTGGCACATGGCCGAAGGGCATCCTTGCAGAGAAATAGTTCATGACAGGCAAAAGGTAACAAAGCACCAAGGGATGACCACAGCTCTTTCTGTCCGTTATATTTTATCTAGGCTACTTAGGGCAGGGAACACTCATACCTTTAATCCTAGTGCCACCCATCTTAGCCTTGCACCATAGAGCATCTCCAGGATCACACTACATCCAGCCACTTTTGTAAAAGCCCCAATGATGACCACATGAGGTTTTGAGGGGACATCTAGATGCAAGCTATGAAGAGTGAACCAAGGGCCCTAACTTCATCCCTAGCCCTTCTTTTCTTTTTTCACTTTCTCATCCCCTCCACTTCCTTCCCCCCTCCTCCAATTTCCCTCCCTCCTTTCTTATTCTCCCCCCACCCCGACATATACTCGTTAAGTCACTAAATTGCCCAGAGGCTCAAACTTGCAATCCTCCTATGTAGCTGAGAGTGTAGATATGCCATATCTAGCCTAAAAATCCTTATTGCTCTCTTTTAATCTTTCATTGCCTCCTACCTTGATGCTTTCTTAAGCCTTTATTTCTTTTGGTAGCAGTGGATTTTGTGAAACTTGACTACTTTTTTTTCCCCTAACTTCACTCTTAAACGATAGCTCATTTTCTACCTATTTTTATTCCCTTTTCTGTCTGGATATTAGAGAATTGATTTGCTCTTAAAGTTATTTAAAAATAAATGCCAGTTAAATTTCCCTCGGTTACCACATAAATAAAAGAGGAAAGCTTGAGTAAGTGGAAGACTGAAAGTGAAAAAGCTATTCAATTTAAATAGATGTCAGATATGACCTTGTCTGCCTGAATCACAAATTATCCAGCTAAGATTGCAATTTTTTTGTGCCCGCTGTAATAGAGGAGGTTTGTCTTTTTCCCCTTTCTCACCTTCCCGTCTTTCCATCACAATGTTAAGTGCAGGAGTGCATTGGGTGCCCTTGTGCCATTTAAGTGAGATATATTAGTTTTCTGCTCCCTGGAGCACGCTGGTGATTTGACTGCCTGAGGGACAGGTAGGTATGTAAGATGACACAAGAGACCAGCCAATAGCCTGCTGGAGAATTGGCACCTGGGATAATGGCAGTGTTATGTATGGATGGATAATGGTTTCATGAAGGTTTCTTAATCTCCTTTAAATCTTCACCTATCTTCCCCACTGCCCCAGACAGATCCCCTCTTAGCTGCAGGTCATGATAAATGGAAGTTGTTGTTGAGCTGACAGTGTACACACTATGCTGCCAAAATAATTTACTATGAACTGTTATTTGTGCATAATTCCTGTACCCAGACTCCTTTCCACACCCATGCATATATCCTTGAGGAAAAAAAGACAAGTAAGTCCACAGTTTGTCTTCACTCAAGAAATGTGCAATGTGAAAGGGTTTAAATCATGACTGTGAGGAAAATGACCTGTATTTCTGTCTTAGTATTTAGCTGCCTGTAGCTTTAGGAGCTGAGTTTGTACCCTTTCTTCCTGTCTCTCCTCTTGGCATTTTCAAAACTTCTTTCACAAGGCAAGGGTCGGTATGTTAGAATGCTCCCATATGGAGTCATAGCAAGTGCAGAGCTCCTTGGCTGGCTGTTTGTGTGGGGAAGTGAGTAACGCACAACCAGGATTGAGGACCCCCGGCCGCATGAGACACTGACTGCTGCGGTGTTCCAACAGGTGGGTTTATCGATAGAGAATTTTTATGTTAGATTAAGCTTTCTATAGGATGGAAAGTGTATGTGTATACATCACCTACTAAATGATCCATTTGTCTCCTAGACAAGTGAGGTTCTAACTTACACCTTGAAACTAGTTCTGCCTCACTTTTTACACCTGTCTTCAGGATAACCACAAAGGAAGAAAATTACAGTGATATCTCGATTCACAGATTTAATTCATTCCATGATTCTGGGGAAGGTAGCCATGGGCCTTTATATCACTTGAGGTGGACTTGTGAATGGAAGCAAAATTTTGCTGAGTGCTTCCATTTGCCAACTGTATTGTTTGCAAATAGAAGTGTTTGTGAACCGCGGTATTGCCATGCTTACAGCCATATCAGTCATTAAGACCCTTTTACATGACTCGTTTCCTTCCTTTCTCATATTTCCAAGTATAGGAAGTGAGATGTTACAAATACCAGTCACTGCTGTCACTTACATAATAGTATGGCTTCACTTCATCCAGGGTATTCTATGTATGTGAGAGTAAGAATTTGACTGACTAGTCCTCCTTGTGACTTGACTTCAAGGACAGTTCTGTGGTGACTGCTTCACCTCATACACCCATGTTTTCACCATTAGTGATTTTCGTCTTTCCCAGATCCCATCTGAATGTCGTCCCTCACCAGCATAGAAAAAGTTGGAACATGAGTGTTAGTGGACGAAAGGCTGTTCCTTATCCTTATCTTTGTTTTATTACTGTTTTTTCTGTGGTCTACTCTGTAATAAATAAAATCTCCTGCAGATAGAGAGTGTAAAACAGGCAATAAAATGGGGCTGGTGCAGGGTTGCTGTTCTGGTGCATCAGACAGATCAGTTTTGGTTCTGACAAGAGAGGAGCTCCCAGCCCTCCTGTTGCCACCATGCTGTAATTGCACACGGCTTCCTTTTCCTTCTTTCCTCTTCCCACTCCCACTGTGCAAGCATAGTGTGCATGATGAATCACCGTGAGTTGGCTTTTCCTGTCTTCTCTGCCATGTCTATTGTTTTTTCTCTAGTACGTGAGGCATTTTATGATGGCTGTTGGAGTATAGTACCAGAGGCAGAACCTATACTTGCATCCTCTGCAGTCTTATTTCTCTAAGCCCTGGGAGGGATGAACTATGAGAACAGGAGCTGTCTTTCTCTTAAGTATCTTCCATCTTCTAGTCGGTGGTCCTATGAACCCACCTGTTAATTTCCCTACTGTGTACTCATCTAACCGATGCTATGCTTTCTAGGAGATCTATAGCTTTGTCAGTTAGTTTCTTGACCATGTCATTTACTGCTGTTGTATGACTTTCTCCCTCTATAAGTGATTCTGTCAGAGAC